ACTTTATTTGCTTATCCTTGACAGATACGCGTATTTCGTCTACAATGTGCAGACTTCTTCAGTGTCTTGTACTAATACTCGAGTATTAGTACAAGACACCGAAGAAGTATGCACATTGTAGACGAAATACGCGTATCTGTCAAGGATAAGCAAATAAAGTTGTGGAATTAAATGGAAAATACTAATCCTTCTCTCTATCATTATACAGGTATTCCACTAAGACGCCCACATTCATCAGGAAAACTCTGATATATTTAGGAAACTTCAGGGGAGATTTGAGAACATCAAGGTGGTTCCATTTGCTTCAGGAAAACTGCAGAAACATTCAAGAAGTTCTGAGAACTTCAGGGATATACAGAAAACTTCAGAGAAGTCAAGAGAACTTGAGAGAATTAGAAAGAGCTTAAAAACAAATTTGGATTCCAAGTACCTCAAAGAAGCTAGGTCTGGAGATCTTTGAGAAATTACAGACATCTTATGGGCAGTCCCAAGAACTTTAGGAAAATTCAGAGAACTTCAGGGATGCTCCACGATCAGTAAGACAAATCAAAGAACCTATGAGGGTAGTTCAATCAATTTCGAAGATCCAAGAGTTTCATTAACATTTTAAAAAGAAACAAGAACATCAAAACATTATGAGCAGATTTAAGGGGAATTCCTTGATTTTCATGGTAGTTTCGAGAACTTCACAAAATATCAGGAACCTTAACGAAGATCAGTGAACTTCTGAAAAGTTTGGAGATTTTTAGGAAATTTATTTATACTCTGGGAAGTACGATCAGCCGCTCCATTAATTTAAGGAAAGTTGCAGGAAGTTTCAATACAGATTAAAGGGTGTCCACGATAAAATTGCCACACACAAAATTGATTCGCAAAATTCGAGTTTTCATCCGATTGCCATCAAATTTTCAGGGATTGAGAAATAACTATTAAACTTCATTTTACCATTTTACTCGTATTTTATTTACAGTCCATACGCAAATGCCCGCACCTTGGCCTTAACCCCGGCCATAAGATTCTGCACAACCTGTGAATCAACCGTTTTTTGCATGTAAACCCATACTTTCTTCAGTTCCTCGACTGTCTTCACTACCTTAGGTCGTTTAAGAAGGTGCTGCTTCATAATCGCCCAGTACTTCTCGATGGGGCGGAGCTCCGGAGTGTTGGGAGGGTTGAACATTTTCGGCACGAAATTGACCTTATTGTCCGCATACTACTTCAGCACGTCCTTGGAGTAGTGGCATGAGGCCAAATCCGGCCAGAAGATTGTTGGGACGTTGTGGGCCTTCAGGAGAGGAAGCAGCCGCTTCTGGAGGCACTCTTTTATGTACACCTGTCCGTTCATCGTGTCCTGGGTCACGAAAGGTGCACTCCGCTTCCCGAACGTGCAGATGGCTTGCCAAACCAGGAATTTCTTCGCAAATTTGGACATCTTCTGAGTGCGGACATGCTCCGGAACGCTGAACTTATCCTTGGCCGTGAAAAACAGGTTGCCGGGGATCTGTTTGAAGTCGGCCTTCACATATGTTTCGTCGTCCATGATGCAGCATTCAACTTTCGTCAGCATGTTGAGGTACAACTTCCTGGCACGGGTTTTGACGGACTTGTTCTGCTTCTCGTCGTGATTAGGGGCCTTTTGTACCTTGAACGTTCGAAGTCCAGCCTTAGTTTTGGCCTTCTGGACAAAACTTCGGCTTAGGTGCAGCTTCTTAGCCACATCCCTAACGGAGGCGTTCGGATTTCGGTTGAAGGCCCCAACTACGCGGTTGTGATTTTTGGTGTTGTACGGAATACTTTTTCCTTCACTTCTGGGCTTCCGATCGGTGGTCAATCGTTCCTCGAACCGCTTAATCACTCGCGACACCGTGGAATTCGCGATTCCCAACGTTTTAGCGATGGAACGATGCGAGAGATCCTTGTTCTCGTGATGAATGCGCAAGATTTTATCACGCACGAGCTGTTCTTTCGACTCCATTTCCGCGAGTTTTGATCACAGGACTTTAAAACTTGCAGGATGTAAATAATGCACTATGAACTAAATACACCCAAATTTTCATTAAATTCTACCCAACGGTTAAAAAGTTAGAGCAATTTTTATAGTGTGGACACCCTTTATATAATATTCCGAGAATTCAAGAAAAAATCATGGATGTCCAGTGAAGTTCTGGAAAAGTTTTAATGTTTAGGTGAAGTGCAGTGAGCTTTTAAGGAGTTTTCAAAACTAAAGGATAATTATGGAAACATCAAGGAATATCAAGGAACTGTGCTGAACAACAACAGTAATTAAATTAACTTCAGTAAAATTACGGGACTTTCAACCCTTTGAACCCTTACTTGTTCTGCTTTTTGCTGTAGGGAGTAGCAATCTGTAATACAGCAATTTCTTTGTTGGTGTCATATATGACCTCACTATTATGACAAATTTGGATTCCAAGTACCTCAGAGAAGCTAGGTCTGGAGATTTTTCGGAAATTACAGACATCTTATGGGCAGTGCCAAGAACTTCAGGAAAATTTAGAGAACTTCAGGGATGCTCCGCGATCAGTAAGACAAATCAAAGAACCTATGAGGGTAGTTCAATAAATTTCGAAGATCCGTTGATCACTAAGAGACCAACAAGTATATTTAAGAAGTGTTTTGAATGATCCACATTGAAACATTCATCTGTGTCTTTTAGACTCTGACAACCATTCGTGTTGTTATTACATGTCATGCAGGGTAATTGTTATAAATTATGATATGTACCATAATTCTTTTATCATCACTTTAACTTAATTGTTAACTGAAGCTATTCAAACGAATGTTTCAAAAGTATAAGTCATCTGTTTTCATTATGTTTGTGGCAAATTTGGACGGTCTGCTCGTAATAAATGTGAATCATAATGAGAATCATAATGAATACGCTGTCTTCCGATAAAAACGGAGAAACGAATATACTCAAAAAGAAATCTTTTATATCCATCTGGACATCTACGTGCAACAAGACAAAATTAAGTTCTTTGTAGAGTTTCTTAGTTTGAATATTTGGTAAAGTCAACGTTTTAAATAAAATCTAACAGTTTCATAGAGAGTGAAAGCTTGGTAAAAATACTGAAAATCATATGTTCCTTTCAGTAAATTTTGTCGAAACTTAATCTTTAATTGTTTTTCTATAATGTTCAAATTGTGCTTCATTATCAATCACACACATTGTATTATTCATATGAAACAATTAAATGAATTACATACTATTAAAACCATTATAGAAACATCTCCGTTGCCTTTTCTTAGCCAAAATTGTTCTGCCCATTTGGTCGTCTTTGGTCCAGGTCCAACCCGTTGATGGACTCCGAATGGTACTTGCTCTTTTATATGACCTCGCGTGTCGTCTTAAAGTTTCAGATTCAGCAAAGTTTGTAATTAAACAGTTATTTTGAATTAGTTTCTGTTATAATTGTAAAGGATTATTTTTAAACATACCAGGCAGTGAAACTATACCTTGCTTCATTCGAAATTGTAGATTCCCATATTGTGCTCCTAATAAATGTCCGTTGGTATTTTACAAATGTACACTTCCATTTCAGATCTACACACCGCAATCCGCTGGTTCGGAAAGGACAATGGCTATAATAATTTAAAAAACTTTACTTATTAAATTCTAATGGACAACGCAAACTTACCATATCGTCCAGTCCGTAGGTCCAGTGGTGCTCCAAGATAATTATTTTTGTTAATTCACTACTTGCCTTCACAAGAATTCGCGAAATTTTATGGCAGAGGGCAAAGCTCGCGACAAACTCGAAACGAAACAAACATGGCACACGATGTGAATTTTCATCCAAAACGAAATACAATTGCAACACTTGATTTGGGATACTTTTAAAGCATGGACATCGGAACAACTCAAAATTAAGATACAAAGTAAACAAACCTGAAAACCCTCCCAAGACTACTGTTTGAGTTTAAATTACTTCATGATTGAGTTGAAAGTATTCAGCAATTAGAATAACATTGTATCCAAAACTGTAGTGAGGAGAGTATTTAATTATGATACTTTTTATCTCCCTTTTCAGCTGTTTTGTTTCTTTGTGAAGGATGCAGTTATTTTGGTGCCGTATAATTACTCAAACGGACCGAATCTCCGCTGTGTGTGTCCGTACCGTCATTTCAGAATGAAAATCGCTTTAACAAAGGAATTTAGCCTGTCATGCTTCACGATAAGCACCAGCCAGTACCAAAATAAAAATAAAACATGAATTATCGAAGATTAGATAAGCAAAAAATTCGGCTGGATCACATTTTGTTTTGGAATTACTAAGTTTTGGGAACCGATATTATGAATGCACTTTACTACACAGATCATTGCAATAAAAAGCAAGGATCAATGACCGACTAACACATTTGTCAAATGTCAAACAAAGCGTAGATTTGGCAAACCAAGAACATCACATTTCAATCTCAATTGCTTTTAATAAAATATTATCTGTTTTTTTACCTTGATATGCTACTCTTAGGATTAACACATGTCTTGCACGACATCCAACAGCATCAACTGTTGTCCTAAAATGAGATGAGAATTAAAAAGGTAGAGCTTCAAAACAACTTACCGTCCAGATGTCAACATTGCAATCTGAATCGTGCAATTGCTTCGGAAAAAAAAATGATTCAAGCGGGTCGGGCTCACTGACACAGAGAAGCAGCCAAATCCGTATCAGTCAGTCGGGGTTCATTCATTCGTTCATTCATTATCGTGAAATCGATTCAAAGCAGTGTGCGTGTGATGGTAGACACTAGAATACCAAATCAAACGTTGAATCAAACAAACAGGCACGGCGATAAATGCGTCATTCCAATAGGAAATCATCATTTGTGTGCTGTGATATTGAGAAATCTTTGCCAGAATCTTCACACATGAAAAAGAAATTCCCATACAGTTGAATATTCTAAGCAAATAAACAGTACCAAATATGTGCAAATATCATAAACAAAGCCCCACCCCACCAGTTAACACTAACCTGCGGTCAGCGATGGACATCATGCAGCAGTTGCTAGCATTAATCGCAGTTCTCCTACTTACCTACGGGTTCTACCGTTTGCGCCGGCAATTTCGCTTTTGGGCCGACCGAAATGTGCCATATCTATCGAATAAAATTGGATTCATGGACAAATCGATCCATCCGGTAGAACATTTCCGAACATGCTACACACAGTTCAAGGGCCAATACCCGCTGATGGGAATTATGATGATTGTCAAACCAATCGCCGTTGTCCTAGACTTGGAACTGATAAAGTGTATCTTGGTGAAGGATTTCCAACATTTTCAAAACCGTGGAGTGTACTACAACGAGAAAGATGATCCCATTTCGGCACATCTGTTCAGCTTGGAGGGTGCAAAATGGCGTAACTTGAGAGCCAAAATTTCACCAACCTTCACGTCTGGCAAAATGAAAATGATGTACCCAACGATGGTCGCTGCCGGGAAGCAATTTAGTGACTATTTGGACGATAAAGTGTCCCAGGAGAGCGAACTGGAGATGAAGGATTTGCTATCCAGATTCACGACGGACACGATTGGCACGTGTGCGTTCGGAATTGAGTGTAATACGATGAGGGAACCGAACTCGACGTTCCGAGAAATGGGACGGAAGCACTTTGAAGCACCGAGAAGTGCGTTGAAGGATGCATTCAAAATGATTAGTCCGAACTTGGCTCGATTCTTAGGAGTGAAAGAAATTCGTCCGGAAGTGTCAGAGTTCTTCATGGGCGTGGTACGGGACACAATCGACTATCGCTTGAAGAACGGTGTCCGGAGAAACGACTTTATGGATTTATTGATCGCTATGATGAATGATGACTCTTCGGAATCCGATCGGATAACGTTCAACGAAATCGCAGCTCAAGCGTACGTATTCTTCATTGCGGGCTTTGAAACCTCATCGACAACGATGACTTGGGCTCTGTATGAGTTAGCCCTGAATCAAGATGTTCAGGAGAAAGGAAGAAGCTGTGTTCGAGAAGTCCTTGAAAAACACAATGGGGTGATGAGCTACGAGGCAATCATGCAAATGACGTACATCGATCAAATCATCAACGGTAAAGATGCCATTTTTTCAAACCTGTGTCTCCCTGACAAATGATCTTAAATATTACAGAAACCCTCCGCAAATATCCTCCCGTGCCGATACATTTCAGAACAACCTCTAGCGAATACCGGGTCCCAGATACGGACACTCTGCTGCCAGCTGGAACCTTTGTGATGTTGCCTGTCCACGCAATCCAACACGATGCGGAGATTTTCCCGGATCCGGAGAAGTTTGACCCGGATAGGTTCACCGCGGAAGAAGTCAGCAAACGACATCCATATGCGTGGCTTCCATTTGGTGAAGGGCCTCGCATCTGTATTGGATTGCGCTTCGGGATGATGCAGGCCCGTATCGGATTAGCACTACTATTGAAGAGTTTCCGTTTCTCGACTGGACCTAAATCGACCATTCCGCTCGAGTTTGAGCCAACGAACTTCATCCTTTCTCCCAAGCAGGGGTTGTGGTTGAAGGTGGAGAAAATATAGTACTGGTGATTCATCGATGAACATTTTGCAGAATAGATCTTGTTGCCAAGTGCATAATTCTCGATGAGCATTTCAAATGGTACTATCTGCTTTGATCGATTCTCTTCATCGACTTTCTCTTTTCATAACCACTGCTATACAAGCAGGTTTTGCGCTTATTCTACCACATAGTTTGATAAAGGAGGTTCTTATCTAGCGTCCAAAACGTCAAATACAACAGGGAAAGGTTTTGCAGCTGAAAGGAATCGATCAATGCAGATAGGACCTATTGAAATGTTTATCAAGAATTGTGTTGAATAATTGAGATGAAATGATACACCCAACCGGGAAGTGTAAGATTCTTTTACAGATTTGCATGAAAAGTATGCAGAATTTTAAATGTTTCACGATATGAACGTATTCTGTGAAGTGGTCGCCGGAAGTATTTTAGAATAATTTTGAAATTATTATGTTAGCTTATTTTTCGAACAAAGTTTGTTTGCCCAAATGCATTGCGTCCAGAAATTCATCTCGTGAAGATTTTCTAAAAAATATGCATTCTGCTAAATTTGCTTGTACGCTGCAGTCCAATAAATCCATTTATTTTCTTCGCACTATTTCGACCGAGTTCTATCACACCAGGGATTGTTTTCGTACCGATGTTGACGATGACTGCCACGCAAAATAGATGGCATCATGGCAATCATGACATTAAAAAAAACACGAATGACCTCCTCGGAAGGATCCACCATGATTTTCTATCAGAATTGAGTATTATGCCACGATAATTGCACTTATTTTAAGCGATATCAACCGCACTCTATTGCGCTTCAAAACGTGTTTTCTCCTTCAAATTCACTGGACCGCAACTCTTTCGCATCACAACCATCGACAAGACCTGGCCAAGGCACACACAAACTTCTTTGGAGTATCCAAAATCGTTCAGATGTTCATTTAACGGACTTAAACATTCCACAATTTTCCTAAAACTCTCAGACTTCACGAAACATCTTTAAAGGTTTTTGTGTATTCCTATTGATTTTTTGATGCTTCATAAATTTCCTGGACTCCACAATTTTCCAGAGGTTAATGGAACTGTCCCGAAGTTCTTTGATTCTTCCCTGAAGTATGCTAATGGACTTTCCCTTAAAGTTTCCAAGCTTGTTATGACCTCTTTGGATTTTCCAGAAGGCTCCAAAGTTTTCTAGATATTCTTGGGACTCTACTTAGGTAGCCGTGATTTTCCTAATATTAATTAACCATATCTGACGTTCCCGTAATTTTTCTGGAATTCTCGGAACATCTGTGAAGCACTCATATCTTTTCTGAAGTTTTCTTAACTTCTTTGGAGTGCTTTGGACTCCTATGTCAATTTTCCTGAAATTCTAAATGCGGCTCCAAGTTTACCCTGAAAGGATAAACTTTCCAAAAAATTGAAACTTCCTTAAAGTTATTGTAACTGGACGGCCCTGAAGTTTTTGGAACTTGCCTTGGAATTTTTGGAACTTTCCTAAAGATCATGCAATGTTCCAGTTTTTGGAACATCTCTCAAATTATCGGGAATTTCCATAGATCCTTGAAACTGTTTGAAAATAATGTAACTGTTTAATGTTATCGGATCTTCTCAAAAACTACTCTTTACTTCACTAATGTTAATACTTCTACTAAACTTACTACATATTGTACTCTTAGGAGTTGTTTGATCTACTATGGAGGTCTTGGAACTTCTTAAAAGCTTCGGCAGTTCCCTTGAAATTCTCTGAGCTTTGCTGAAGTCTTGCTTTTTTTCTAAATTTTTAGAAATTGCTTTGAAGTCTATGGAGATTTTCTCAAACTGTTCCAGCATTCTCTTGATGTTCTGCTAGTTTCCATATGCTAACTTTGTTGAATTTTCCATTTTTTGTGGTTATCGGAGCTATTTTATAGTTCCTGCAATTGACTTGAAGTTTATTGAACAGCACTGAGGTTTTTTTCTTATGTTCCCTGATGCACTTGAAGCTTTGCTGAAGTTCTCGCAATATTCCTGCCTAGAATACAATCAATCTGTTTTAAAAATCTATAAACTTCCCTTTACTTCCTTGGTCTTCTGTTAAATTCCTGATATATATAAGTTACCGAACGGATCCAGCCAAGCCACAACGATAAACACTTAGCCGCACCACACTGTGCAGCGGCAACCACCGAGACCAGCAACATCAGCATTTCCTTGCCCGCGCCCAGGGCTCAGCAGCTAGCAACAACGACGACGCAGACGACGACCACACGACCCATCAGCACTACATGTTCCGCTGACGTAGGAAGACAACCGACACCCCACATCCGCACATAGATACAGTCCAGTTGTGCATTCTTAAAGAATAAGACATTCAATGTAACTTCCCGAGTAGCACACTTTCATTAAGAATCGTTGCAGCAACTTGTTTATGATTGAAATAAGTTGTAAAGAAGTTTCTACAACCGATATGTGACAAGCGTGCTACTAGGGTTAGTATTAAAAATAAAATCATTCTTATTTCGGCCTTCTGCCAAGTACGATCTTTTTTAAAAGGTCCGTCCGAAGGCACGAAAGTTATTTTATATATATATCTAAAATTCTCAGCTCACCTCTACAGGTATTTAGCCTACCTAACAGCTTGGACATTTTTTAAGATACAGAAACTCCCCTGAAGTTTTGAACTGCTATAAAGCTTCCTTAAGCTCTTGGAACTTTTTTTTATGTTCCCACAATTTGCGTCAAGTTCTATGGACTTCTATGAGGTTGTCTGGAATTCCTCCAGATTCTCCAGATATTCCTGAAATTTTCAGAACATTTCGAAATTTTCTGCAATTTCTCTGGAGATAATGAAACCGGCTTGAATTTTTCGAAACTTTTCTGAAGTTTTTAAAGCATTGCAGAAATTTCCTGAACATTATCTATGTTACAGTAGTCTGTTGAAAAAACTTCTCTGAAGTTCTCGGAATTTGTTTTCAATCCTCGTAGCTTCTTGTAGTATTTAGTATTGTAAATGTTCTTTTTGGAACATCACATAAGTAGTCACAAATTAGTAGAATCGTAGAAAGATCTCTGAGGTTCTCTGGATTTCCGTGAACTTATTGAAACTTATGCGACGTTTCCGTTTTTTCAAAGTTCTCTAAACTTCCCTGAACTTCTTTTGACTTCATTGAATTTTTCGGAACCTCTTCCACTATTTTTCTAAAATTATTTGATGGGAGCAAAACCTTTTTCATTTGCAGGTTGAATAGGTTAGCATAGAATCAGTGAAATTGCACATTGAATCAACTGAATGGGGCTGGGAGTGACCATGCATTCACACTGTTCAAGTTTCAGTGATTCCATATTTTAATTTATGATCAATAACAGCTCCGGGCACGTCCTTGCTATCAGGTGGGAGTAGGGATTGAATATTAGAATGAACTTCGTTGTTTTGGGGACCGTGTTGATCTCTGCATTCCCGCAAAGATCACAGGAGAGGTATTTTGTTAGTAGGTTGGGTTCGTTGGATCAGGATTCATCTTGATAACCCACATAAACAATAACCATAAGAAGCGCCTAACCACCAATTCGGGATGTAATCCCAACTTTATGTGGTACGGTCGTACCATCAGTGTATGATACTCGTTTATAAGGAAAGTGATACAACCGTAGTTTTGATAAAATGTATTCATTTCCGAAATTAATGAAATAAGATCAGGCATCAATGGTAGACATACGATGCGACCCTATCAACTCAGTAATGTAAAGAGGCCTGGGATGAAACCCACAGTCTTCTGCTCAGTAAGCAAAACCGGTTGGACTATACAACCGAGCCTTTTACATTATAATAAACCACCGGCATGAAGCTATTCAAATGTAATAATGTCCTATAGCTATAGTCCCCAAAACTACTAAAAGTATCCACAAAGTCCCCTCCGAAAATAAAACTGGTTTGAAGTTTTAGAAACTACCCGGATGCTCACGAAGCTTTCCTTCACATATTCAGGCTTTCTTGAACTTCTCTGGACTCCCAAAAAAAACTCTTATTTTTTTCTGATATTCTAGGCAGTTCCTGAAGTTTCAACAATTTCCCAAAACATTTCGAAACTTCTTTGAAATTACTTTAATTTCCCTGAAGCTAAAGGAACTGTCCTAAGAATATCTGTTCTTCCCTGAAGCTCTTTAACTTCCCTGAAATTCTCTCAAATCTTCTGAAGCTCTTAGTACTGCCCTAAACTTAATAGAACCGTCCTAAAGATCTCTAAGCATCATTGATAACTTTTGAACTTCAGTGGTGCTTCCAAACATTTTGACGTAGGACTACGTCTGTGATTTTTATATGGGGGAACACTTTGTGAAAACTGAAAATGGAACATGTAACAAAATTATGAAAGATTTTGAACGTTAATAACTCAGCTGCCCTTGCACCAATTTCAATAGTTTTATCACCAATTGATCAGAAATATTTCAACGCATCTGTTTAATTTAAGAAATTGTTTTCCAAATGTCACTATTGAAAATGGCACAAACGTGCAACTGTTGCTATGATAGTTAAAATTATCACCGATTGCCTAAAAAAAGCGATTTCCCTAACATAGATTTCAAAGTTGAATTCAATCCGGTCTCACCAAACGGTATTTATTTAATCACCGCGTGGTGAGTGGTGGTGTTCTCCAGTACAAAACGAAAGGCTCCCCGCAAGCAGCTAGCTATCAAGGCTGGCTTCAACCGCTGATCGGATTCAGTTCTAATCACCGGGTGTGGCTGTGTCCGGTCGTCGGCATCATTATCATCATTATTGTTCTCCAGTACACAACAAAAGGCTGCCTGCAAGCAGTGAGCTGCAGCCGACATGAGCATCCATAGAAGGAGGAAGCAGCCGCACCGCTATTGATCGGAATCAGTAGCTCTTTGTGGGTCGCTGTGAGAATCCTGCTCAAATTCCTATTCCTACACAAAACACAAGCTCCTGCTGCAGGTAACAAATAAGATTTATTATATTAGCCCACGTAGTCCTACGTCACCATTGCGTACAACCCCATAGGGTTGTCCCTTGTAGTTTTTTTTTAAGTTTTCACATCGCTGAAGTTTTCTGGCATATTTTTTTGAAAATTTGAGAGCATCTCAAAAATTTCTCGAAATGTTCCCAAAATTATTGGAACTGCAATCATCTTCCCTGAAGTTCCTCCACCTCTAGAAACTGCCCTGAAGCGTACGTACCTTCTTTAAAAATGTTCCCGCATTTTCCTGATGTTCATGAAACTTTCTTGAAGAGCTCAGAGTTACCCTGAAATTTTCGGAATTCCTTAAAATTTTCTGAACTTCTATGAAGTTAAGTTCTCTGGAATCATGTGTTCTTGAATATTTCTTGAAAATTCTTAACTTCACTGGTGTTCTTTGAACTTCCCTCAAATTTAAAGAACTTCTTAAAGGATCCCTCAATTTTCCTGAACTTACAGCGTAATATTTATGAAGGTCTTTGATTTTCAATGACCTTATCAACATTTTCCTGAAATTTATGTATCTTACTCTATAATATCTTAGCACTTCCCAAAAGACTAGACCTTCCTGATGTTTTACGTGTTTCCCTGATGTCATTCGAACTTCCCGAAAGATCTCTGAGCTTTTTTTTTCCTTGATTTGTTTTCCGTACTGAGTACCAATGCTACCGACGCCAGGGAGTCATCTCCCCCACCTGGACCCTTCCTATCAACCCATCAACTCAACGGCTTTACCTCCCTTCCGAAGGATCGCGTGATCAGAGCTTCAAAGATTCAGAAAATCCCGGCGGCACCGACTGGGATTGAACCCAGGCCCTTTTTAGTGAGAAGCAATATCGCTAACCACTACTCCACTATCTAAAATTCCCAAATATGCTTAAAAATGTTGTAAAAGCGTCCTTTTTTCTGAAGTTTATTGAAT